TGTCTACGAGTACAGAGAGATGAATTTGTTCTGTTTTTGTACTACAAAATTTGCGAAACGAGATCGACGAAAGACCGACGTGACTCTTATTTCCTCGGCGTCGACTCCAGGTAAATGTAACAGTCCGGGCACAGTTTGTATAAATAAATGAAAGTATCCGTGTTCTCAGGTGTGTATCTGTTTATTTATACAGTGAGATTAAAATCACTGTTGGTTTTCCTTCTAGGATGGCTAACACCCACTGGCTTTCCGGTCATGTTCGTTCGCCTGCTAGGCTATGTTTGGCTTCATAGTATTCTGTTTCATATGCTGCTTGCATTTGTGAATAACTGAAGACCTTACGTGTAACTCACTGGGTTTATTCTGTATAGTAGGTAAACAAATACAGACCATGCTGCGTCCGTCACTGGCTCACAAGAGAATACATGCGCAGTACTCTAGCTACTTAATATTCATGAGGGCGTGTCACAGTTCAACATAACATCTTGTTACATCCTTTCTCTTTTAAACAAGAATGAAATTTAAATCACGATTCTATCGCGTGAAACATATTTCAAAAGTTCTCAGTTAATGAACTATTGTTCTCTCTTGAAAGCATTCTACAGTTCACAATCTAACAGTCTATCTAACTAACAAATTTCTAACTAATAGTTCTAAACTAACAGTTTTCTACATAGTCCGTTAAATATTGCGGCTTTCTGATTACTCTTCCTGATCTAGTCATTCTAACTGAATTTTCCGCTATGTTTTGTGTACTATTGTATGCTTTGTCATCTTGCTCTGCTATGGAGACATCTGGAGATATGATCTTGTGTTCCTGCTTCTTGGTTTCTATTCTTGTTGCTAGATTTGCAGGAGTAGCAACTATGTCAGCGGTTTCATTTGGAGTGTATTTCTCACCGGTTTTCCTCAGGTGTTTGCGGTTTCTACGTAGAATTCGTCCTTCCTCTGTTGTAACTTCATATGACCTAATGTTCACTTGTTTGTTGACTTCAGCCTTTTTCCACTCTTTGTCTGATATTGCAGTAGGCATAATTCTTACTGTGTCTCCTTGCTGAAGTGTTTGTACATCTTTGGCTCCTTTGTTATAGTAGTATGCTTGCTTTGCTTTGTTCTTCTTTATCTGCTTTCCTACATTTCTCACTACTGACGGTTTGAGAAGTTTTGCAGTTGTAGGTAGTGTAGTCTTTGTTCTCCTATTCATGAGTCTCTGCACTGGGCTGCTGTTCATTCCTTGAGTTGGAGTGTTTCTGAAATCTAGTATAGCTAAGTAAGGGTTTGAGCCAGCTAGTCGTGCTTTTCTCATGATGTTCTTTACTGTCTTCACTGCGTTCTCAACTTTACCATTGCTCTGGGGGTATCGTGGAGAAGAAGTAATATGTTCGAATCCCCAATCTTTGCTGAATTTCTTAAATGCTTCTGACACTTCCTGTGGACCGTTATCTGAGATACATGTGTCTGGTATGCCATGTCTAGCAAATTGGGCTTTGAGTTTACTTATAACTGTTTTCGCTGTTGTATCTGGTAAGTAGTCAATCTCCCAATAGTTGGAATAGTAGTCTACAGTGACTAAGTAATCTCTTCCATTCAATACGAACTGGTCGGTCCCAACTTTTGCCCACGGCCTATTTGGAACTTCATGCGGAATCAGAGTTTCTTTCTGTTGTCGCGTTCCTACAGTCTGGCACACATCACATTTTGCGATGTAATCTTTGATCTCTGCACTCATGTTTGGCCAGTACAATGATTCTTTGGCTCTGCGTAGACATCCTTCAATACCAATATGTGATGAATGAATACGTTTTAACATATCATCTCTTAGTGAACGTGGTACTACTGCTCGCTCACCTTTGAATATCACACCATTCTGTGTGCTTAGTTCATCACGGATATGAAAGTAAGGAGTTATTTGTGCAGTTAACTGGGCCTTATTTTCTGGAAATCCAGTTTGTATCACTTTAGACAACATCTGAAGGCTTTCATCGCTTTCTGTGTGTTGTCTGATATCATCTTTTCTCGGTTCTGCAATCGGTAGATAATCTAACATGTTCACTGTCTCAATGTCTGTCTGCAAACCATCCAGGGGTTCATCCAGCAAGTATGCACGGCTTAGTGTATCTGCTAAGTACATTTGCTTTCCCGGATGATATAACAGGTTTACCTCATACTGTTGTAATCTTAACAGCATTCTCTGCAGTCTCTTTGGAGTACTATGAAGAGGCTTCTTCAGGATCATCTCCAACGGTTTATGATCAGACTGTACATTGACCTTTCTGCCATAGGATCTGGCTTTAGACCTTCATCAGTTATGAGGTGTCCAATGAATGGAACTTGACTCAACCTCAATTTGATTTTGTCTTTGTTCAGTTTCAGATTGCGCTCTCTGCATCGATTCATCAGTGCACGCATCTTTATGTCGTGGTCTATCGTGGCTTCACTCACTGATTCTCCTTCACCAAATATCAGTATGTCATCGACTATGGACCTCACACCTGGCAATTCTTCAATAGCTTGGTCTTGTCTACGCTGGTACTCCTCAGGCGCTGTAGATATACCAAAGGGCATTCGTAACCAACGAAACCTACCAAATGGTGTATTGAATGTAGTTAGATAAGAGCTCTCCTTATCCAACTCAATGTGCCAGAAACCATTCTTGGCATCCAAAACACTAAACACCTTAGCTTTGCTCAGCTCTGGTAATATGTCTTCTATAGTCGGTGAAGGGGTAATGACTTCTACGTAGTGCTGTATTCAAGTCACGAGGATCAATGCAAATTCTCATTTTGCCTGGCTTGATTACTGTTACTAGACTAGACACCCAGGGTGTCGGCTCTGTAACTGGTGCTATTATTTTCTCTTCTATCAGTCTATCTAGTTCATCCTTTAGCTGACTTTTGACTGCAACAGGTACTTTCCTTGGAGGATGAATGACTGGTTGCACATTTGGGTCTAACTCAAGGTGGTACTTTCCTGCTAATTTACCTGTACCTTCAAAGACGTCTGGGAACTCTTTGACTATTTGCTCTACTGACACTGGCTTCATATCAGTTTTCTTGTCAGTTCGGTGTACTGATAGTCTCATCTTGGCTGTTGGTTTGTCATTAACAACCATGATTTGTTCGTGTTGTACCTTAACTAGTCCCATTTGTTGAATAGCTCTACTTCCTAGTAACGGTATGCTTGTCTCATCGTCAACTACTACAAACTCTGCTCTGTATTTCTTTCCATTCTTTGGGTTGACCATTTTGACTTTGGTCTGTCCCTTAGGCTTCATCGTTGCCTTGTTGTACATCACTAGTACTCTATCTGTCTTTATGAATTTGTAATCATTCACATTGCCTAGTTCCTTTAATGGAATGATGTTGCATGATGCTCCCAAATCAAGCTGAAACTTGACTGGTCTCTTATTAATGCTCATTGTAGCATGTATCTGCTTGGGAAAACTGCTCTCAGTCACTCTATTGACATATTCGTTTTCTGGTGATAAGGTGACTAACTGTATTTCCTCACACTCATTGTCACTGTATTCTGCTATATTATACACTGCTTTCTGTTTGCGCTTACTCTGCATGCACTGTGAGGCAAAGTGATTCATCTTTTTGCAGTTATGGCATTGCTTTCTATAGGCAGGACACTTGTTTTTATCGTGGTCATGTTTCTTGCCACAGTATTTGCAACTCTGTAGCGAAACACTAGATGTCTTCTTGTATGACTTCTGTGCTTTATCATGTGACTGTCTCACTGCATGGACAACTACAGGGGCTTCTATAGTTCGGATTCTCTCTTTAGACAGTTCAGAAGCTCTGCAGATCTGGAGACACTTGTCTAAATTTAAATCTGTTTCTCTCAATAGTCTTTCTCTGAGTCTGGTGTCACCAATACCACAAACCAGTCTGTCTCTGATGAGAGAGTCATGTAAAGTACTGAAATTACATGTTGCTGCAAGAACTTTTAAATCTGTTATGTACTTGTCAAGTCCTTCATGTGGTTCTTGATTTCTAGTGAAGAATTTGTATCTCTCTACTGTTTCATTCTTCTTTGGGTTGCAGTGATCATCAAAAGCTTTAATTAAGTCTTCCAACTTGAGATCTTTCTCTTCTTTCTCAAATTTCATTGTTTCATATATCTCTCTTCCTTCTTTCCCGATGAGATATAGAAATAATTTGCATTTCTTGTTTTCTTGTGTTTCTGTTAACACTAGCTCTGTATAAAGTGTCAACTCTTCTTTCCACCTCTTCCACACCAATGCTAAATTGTTGGCGTTCACATCAAGCTTATCTGGTGCCTTGATGTTCTCCATGTTGTGTATCGTAACAACAGTGTAGTGGAAATTTGCAAAATTCGAATCTGTATCTTGTTCTTTTGGGCCACCGTACTTCTATTTCGGTCGACTCAGTTTTGCACTTCTGG